TTTGTGTGAGTGTACCGTCAAATCAGATCCGACTGGTACAGGAGGAGACCGTCCCTCCTTCCCCGGCAGAGCATCTGGTGGATTCGAACCGTGCGCCTCTGGGACTGTAGTTGCAGCTCCCTACCACTAGGCCACCAGAGCTCCCAACGAATACATTTTTATTTACTCTTTAAAATATGAGGTAGCAGAGTGGGCATCATTAACTATATTTTATATATCATGAAAATTTCAACAGTATTTTATTTACAGTGAAAGATTCAGAAAGATTCTTATACCTGTGGATAAGACGTTTGACCCAGAGCTGACTGAAAAAGAGCTAATTTTAAGACCAGTCCTCTCCACAACTCCATGCTTGTGGCTACCTCACAGGCTGTATTTATCCCTTTCCTCCTCTCCTCCATAAAAACTAATATAGCTTTGCTAACATTGTTGTTGCTGTTGTGTACCATCAAGGTGAAACTGACCCATACCTTATGCTCAAGCAGGTTTTCAGAGATCATTAATCATATGGGAGGAGATTGCCTGTCTTTCTTCTGAAGAGCAGCTGGTGGATTTGAAGCTGTGTGCCCTCGGGACTGCAGCACAGCTTCTTATCACTAGGCCACCAGATGGCCATTTGTTCATTTTTAGTAGAAGGAATTATGATACGGAAGTGGAGAGATAGCATTTTTCTACTTTATTGTTAAGCAATTGTATAGAAATGTTCATCAGAGCTGGGATAAAAGACAGCAAATTAAAGCAGATACTTGTTCTTCAATGAGATGGAAAAGGCAATTTCCTCTTTTATCTGGAATGGAAAGAGACCCTGAATAAGCAACAACACTAATGAAAAAGAGAAACAAGGTAGGAAGCATCATACTCCCTGATCTCAAATCCTACTACACAGCCATGGTGGTCAAGACAGCATAGTACTGGTATGGTGACAGTAATGCACATCAGTGGAGTAGAGAACCAAGAAATCAACTCATCTACCTATGGTCAATTGATCTTTGACAAGGAGATGATATCAGTTAAGTGGGGAAATGAGACTGGTTTAGCAAAATTGGAAAACCATCTGTAGAAAACTTAAGCAAGACCCATACCTCACACCATATACAAAATCCACATCAAGGTGGATCAGAGACCTAGAAGTAAAACCAAAGACTATAAAAGTCATCAGAGAAAAGCTAGGAACAATGCTAGAAGCCGTAATCCATAGCATGAACAGTCTTCCAAGCACAGTGAAAAACCTACAAGAATCAAGTCTCTATCAGGCATTTTAGTTGCAAGCCATGTCAGTGAGTGTATAGTGTTCTACAAACTAAGAATTAGAATCAAGCTAGTTCTTTGATGACTCAAAACAGTCAATAAAATGGTATAAAGTATTACCTATATGGTTAATATTGTTACTTCCTCTTTAAGACCTAATACTAAAAAGATAAGCTTGCCTTCTGAAACCACAAAACAAACACATGAGAAACAGAGAAATCTTAACAATCTTTTCTAATCCTCATTGAACATAAAAGAATATAAAATTTTATCAATACTCCTAAGAATCTATTTTAAAAGTCTCTTTTGCTTCATTTACACTAAACACTGACCTCTGTTCTGTGTACGTCAATGCTCATCAGTGTTGGCAAGGCTGCCGTGACTCAGCGTCAATGCCGTGGCAACTAACAACAGTCACTGCCAGTAAATGCCCTGATGAGTACCTCTTTACCCTTCTGTGTTTTCTCTGTCTCTTCCAAGTCAATACATTTTCTAATTTGACAAACTTAAGGTAGCTCTGGAGGAGCTCTGGTGGCTTAGTGATAAGGTGATGCACTGCCAACTCGAAGGCATGTAGTTCGAATCCACCAGCTGCTCTACAGGAGAAAGATGGCCAGTCTCCTCCGATGTGACTTACTGCCTCTGAAAACCTGCTGAAGGGTCAGCTATGGGTCGATTCCAACTCGATGGTCACAATAAAGACACAGTAGCTCTGGTGGCCTAGTGGTAAGGAATTGCACTGCCAGCCCAAAGGCATGCAGTTCAAATCTGCCAGATGCTCTGTGGAAGAAAGATGGGCAGTCTCCTGTGCAGTTTACTGTTTCTGAAAACCTCTGCAGGGTCAGCTGTGTCAGTTCTGACTCAAAGTACACAATAACAAAGCTGTAAGAAGGATTGTCACACTGACTGTATCAGTGAGCTCAAGCATATCAGATGATCATGAAGATGGCACAGGATAGGGTAGAGTTCAGATCGATTATTCATAGGGTCGATATGAGTCATGGTCGACTCAACAGCTCCTAACAACAGCAAGACCTTGAGAATGGGAAAATTAGGTGTGTCTGCACCAAAGAGACCAAATGAGCTCTGAGAGGATATCAAGAAAATCGTCCATGAAGAATGCAAAAGATCATTACAAAGGCTGAAAAAGAAGAAAAGACCAAGATGTATATCAGATGAGACTCTTGACTATTGCATTAGAGCACCGAGAAGCCAAAGCTAAAGGAAGAAACCAAGAAATCAAAGAGTTGAACAGAAAATTTAAAAAAGCAGCCTGAGACGACAAAGCAAGATATTATAATGAAATGTGCAGAAAGCTGGAGTCAGAAAACCAAAAGGGCTGAACTCGCTCAGTGTTTCTTAAGTTGAAGGAGTTGAAAAACAAATTCAAGCCATGAGTGGCAGTACTTTAGGATACTTTGGGTAGAATGGTAAATGATCCAAGAGTATCAAAAGAAGATGGAAGGAGTACACAGAGTCACTGTATCAGAAGGAATTGGCTGACACAGAAAAATTTCATGAAATAACATATGAGCAAGAGCCAATGGTGATGAAGGAGGAAGTTCAAGTTGCTCTGAAGGAGTTGGAAAAAAATATAAGGCTCCAGGAGTTGACAGCATACCAATTGATTTATTTCAACAAACAGATGCTGCCCTGGATGTGCTCACTAAGTTGTGCCAAGAAATCTGGAGGACAGCCAGCTGGCCAACAGAAGAGATCGATATTTGTTTCCATTCCAAAGAAAGGTGACCCAATAGAGTGCGGAAATTATCAAGCAATATCATTAATATCACATGCAAGCAAGATTCTGCTGAAAATTACCCAAAAACGTTTGGAACAATATGTCAACAGAGAACTGCCAGATGTGCAGGCTGGATTTAGAAGAGGTCGTGGTACTAGGGATATTATAGCTAATGTTAGAAGGATCTTGGCAGAAAACAAAGAATACCAGAAGAATGTCTATCTGTGCTTCATTGACCAAAGGCTTTTGACTGTGTGGATCATAACAAGCTATGGCTGACTCTGAGAAGAATGGGAATCCCAGAACATTTGATTGTGCTAACTTGAAACCTATACTTGGACCAAGAGGCAGTCGTCAGAACAGAGCAAGGAGACACTACATGGTTCAAAATCAAGAAGGGGATCCGTCAGGGATGTATTCTGTCCCCATACCTTTTCGATCTGTATGCAGAACAGATCATCCAAGAAACTGAGCTGTACAAGGAGGAATGTGGCATCAGGATTGGTGGAAAAGTCATCAACAACCTGCATTATGCAGATGACACAACCCTGCTTGCTGAAACTGAGGAGAACCTGAAGCACTTGCTGCAGAAGGTCAAGAACTGCAGCCTCCAGTATGGATTGAGGCTCAGTGTCAGGAAAACAAAAATTCTCACCACTGGGCCAATTGGCAGCATCAGTGTGGATGGTGAAGAGATTGAGATAGTTAAACAGTTTTAGTTTGCTTGGTTTCACAGTCATCACTCTTGGTAGCAGCAGTCAGGAAATCAAGAGACAAATTGCATTGGGAAAGTCAGCTGTGAGGGACCTCTGAAGAGTACTGAAGAGCAACGGCGTCAGGCTGGAGACTAAGATGTACCTGATCCAGGTTATAGTCTTCGCAGTTACATGCTATCGTGCATCGGAGAGTTGGACAGTAAATAGGGTTGATAGAAAATT